AAGGGAAGGGAAGGGAAGGGAAGGGAAGGGAAGGGAAGGGAAGGGAAGGGAAGGGAAAACTGGTATTGGCCATTTTGTAGATCTACAACACATCTTGAATGAGCTCTTCAAAAAATGAAAGACCATCTGTTATCAACTGTCATTTAAAAGTCTTGCATATCACACAACATACTTCATACACAAGAAATCCTTAAATACTTTTATCTTCTTTAATAACTGAAATATTCAAAAAAAATTAATTTTTAAGTTGTTTAATTGTTTTCAGCTATGCTGTATCACATGTGGCCACAGAAAGTTATTTAAATACTGAATTTTACATTTTGGGTATTCTCAGATTTTGTCATGGTTCAGATGCTGAGATCCCGGAGAGTCTAAGTGATCCAAAAGTGTAAGACATTGAGTTCTAAGGCAGCAATAAAAAAGAGAGAAAACCAGTAATAGGTATATATATAATCAAGACAAGAAAAAGTATAAAACCCTATGGATGGATAATTGTAATTTCTATTTCACACACATTGTTTTCCATACCATACCATTGCCATTCCACAATCCTTCACAAAGTAGTTTGAAGCCAGCCTCTCATCAGTTTAACTTCTACAGACCTTGAGATGTTGAGAACGACATGATCCAAATCAGTACTCCCTGCAGCTGACCAATGGGGCAATGCAAAGAAATGTATTCAACTGGTGCTTGACCATGAGTTGCCACCAGGCCTAAAGCACCAAAAATCCCTTCATCATCGAATCCACACAAAAGCGAAATAAAATAAATGGCTTAGGGCCTCCCTTCTAGCTTTTCAGTACCTGCTGGTTAAATTGACTTGGCTGTTTGCCAAAACCAAAACCAAAACAGAATGAAGCAAAAATAAATCGATTCAGCTCTGAAAACCAGCCAACATCATGAGATTGGACATGCTTTTAAATTACTACAAAACATCCAGGTAAAGATGACTTCAGTGTCTTATTACCCTGACCAGAAGTTCATTTCATCTCCATTTCTGCATTAGCTTATAAATGTCCAATGGGAAAAGGGCTCCACATGTTTCTTCTAAAATATGAAGTTTTGAATGCAGTTTTCCTGGCTTGCACATTATTTAGAAGCAATGTTTCCTAACTCCAATACATTTTAAAAATATGTTAATTTTTGATAAGATTTTTAAAAATTGTGAACAACCTTACTCCATTCTGACAAGAGATTTAAGCATGTGCTGTATCCTTTGGTTTGGTAGATACTAAGTGGGCACCTTTGTATACAAATTTAAGCCAAATAAATTTATCCCGTATCCTTATTACAGGCTGAAATGAATTAACTATGTGCCCATCTTGCAGGAATCAAAGAGTTAGATTGCTAGAACTTTACAAGGATAGCAAGAAATTGTCAGCAAATGTATATGGAGTGGGAAAAGACCCAGAGTTGCAAGAGGTGGTCTTGTGCTTCCAAATTTTAAATTGTTTTATAAGTAAAGCAAGTTGCTTGTCATGGATAACAGAGTGGATAAAATTCCCAAAGAGTAGACTGTCAGTCTTGGAAGGAGCTGGCCTAGCTAATGGACTTCGCAGATATTCATGGTACAGAAACACAAAGGAGGTTAAAAATTTAAAAGGACATATTATCAAACCAAGTTTGACAAAAGCATGGAATTCTATCAGGAAAAGAAAATAATAAGCCCAACAATTTTACTGTTAGCCTTTCCTTCAAATGCCTTCCATGTTGGAGACAATTAGAGTAAGAAAAATGTATACAGACATGGTCCACTCAGACTCAATAGAATAGATTAAAGACACAGCAAGGATTATTCAGTGAAGGCTGGAATATATTATGGTTGATGTATTTACAAATTGCTGATTGCTTAAGATTGAGGGAGGGACATTAAGAAAAATGACGGAATTTGAAATGCTTCTACAAAACCAATACCAGCTGTTACGGTATATATACATGCTCTTACTTAGATATGACACAGAGACAGAACAAATAAAAAACTGTGTGATAAAATGGATGCAAATGTTTAAAGAAACAGTCACAACACAATGGGAAGAATTATGGATCAAATCCATAAAAATTACTACAAGCTACAATTTAAAAGAAAATTAGTACAAAATGTTTTACAGATGGTACACAACTCTGTCAATAATCTCCAAGATAGATATACAGTCATAAATGTTGGAAATGCCATGAAACAGAAACCCTTTACCACATGTGGTGGCTGTGTAAAAAAACACAAAAGTACTGGAAAGATATACATAGTACAATGCAGAAAAATTTGGAAATGAAATTTGAAATGAAATCACAACTTAATATATCAACAAGAAATATCATAATTTACTGAGATATATGCTCATGGCATTGAGAATAAGTTGGGCCCAACATTGCAAGAAAGATACAATTCTGATGGGCACTTTAACTTGGAGAATATTTTTAATTATCTATTTATTAAGCAAACATATATAGCTGCCCATCTCACCGAAGCGACTCTGGGTGGCGGACAACAATCAGATAAAAAGACAGATAAAAACAACAGAAGAAATATAAAAACCCACATTAATAAATAGTGTAAAAAAGCAAAAATACAAACCATAGGGGAAGGGAGAATAAAAATGGCCCCTTCAGCAATGAAGCCATCTAAGCAGGTCTCTGGTTCCCTGGGAGCCCCAGGCCTCATCACATAACCAGGTCTTGAGGCCTTTTGAAGTAGCAAAAGGAATGGTGCTAATCTAATCTTTGGAGGAAGGATATTCCATAAGACAGGCTCCACAGCAGAGAAGGCACGTCTCCTGGGACCCACCAAATGCTGGTCACTAGCCAACAATACATGCAGCGTGCTTTCTCTGCGAGATCTGATAGGGTGGACTGAGGTAACTGGGGAGAGGCAGTCCCTCGTATAGCCTGGACCCAGGCCATGAAGGGCTTTAAAGGTTAAAATTAGCACCTTGAATTAGACCCAGAAGCAAACTGGCAACCAGTGCAGCTTGCGGAGCAGAGGTGTAACATGTGCTGTTCTCGGAGCACACATAACCGCTCGTACTTCTGCATTCTGAATCAGCTGAAGCTTCTGGATATTCTTCAAGGGCAGCCCCCTGTAGAGGGTATTGCAGCAGTCCAATCTGCAGGTGACTAGGGCATGAGTGACTGTAAGCGGGGCCAGCTGATCCAGGAATGGGCACAATTGGTGCACAAGATAGAGCTGTACAAAGGCCCTCCTAGCCATGACCGCCACCTGTTCATTGAGCAGGAGTTGTGAATCTTGGAGGAGCCTCAGACTGTGCTCTGGGTTTGTCTGGAGTAGTACAATCCCATCCAGGGCCAATGATGGCATAGCCCTGGAACCACCAGGTCCCCAAAACCACAGTCTTGCCAGGGTTCAGCTGAACCCTGTTCTTCCCCATCCAGACCCTCATATCCTCCAGATGCTAGGATGTTCACGGCATTGCTTAATTTGCCAGGAGTGGAGATAGATACTAATGATACTTTACCCCATGGCGATGGATGAGCTCACCCAGTGGCCCCATGTAGATGTTAAAAAGAAGAGGAGAAAACACCAATCCCTGTGGCACCCCACATAGTAGATGCCAAGGGCAGGGCTTCTCCTCCCCAATCATCACCAACTGGAATTGATCCCGAAGGAAGGAGGCAAACCAGCACAATACCATGCCACCACCACCACCCCAAGCCTCTGTATGATTTCTAAGGGGACCTAAATGTTCATAAACACTGCAAACTAGTAGAGGTACAAGAAGGGGGAAGTTAGAAACTAAATATCTTTTTAAACTTTGTTGTTGTTATTTTGTTGTCTTTTCTTGTTTAATATGCATGAACAACAATGAGTAATAATACAGTGGAGACCTCAGTATTAAATATTAAGCCTAAGATTAAAAAGTTGTTATACAACAAATAATTTAATGTATTTTGCCATTGTTTATCAATGCCACATTCAGCTTTACATGCAAAATTTAAACAACCTTATGATTATCAACAACAAATTTTACTGATTAGTTATCTGACCATATCAAAAAGCTATAAAACCAATACAGAGAAAACAGTAGGACATATTCATAATAAATTGTCCTTCCTGCAGTCAACCCTAGATAGTCTATCTTGTTCTAGATAGTCTATCTTGTTCGAAATGACCTTTGATATAAAAAATGCAGTCTTCCTAGTGATATGCAGGCTCGTTCCCTACAAGAAGTAAGACAGTTTCTCCTGAGCATCCCAATATTTTTTAGTTTTTAAATAACAATCTAAGTAAATGGCCCTGCTTATCAACATTAACATTTTAGAAAACACAGTTCATATTGCCTTGCCATAACCTTCTTTTTTTCCTTCATCTTTAAAGTTTAAGTTATCTAAACACCAGAGTGTTAATAATCTCCGGTCAACACTGTATAATTACCACTGTACCCAAATAATATAATGTACTACTTGTGTTTTTTTTTTAATCATACAATAAAATAATATAAAGAGAATTTGAAAGGTGCTAGATTGCTAGACTGCTGAGAGTCTCAGTAGAGCAGATCCCAACTCATCTATACCTTAAAGCCACCATGACATAAAGTGACTGGAGAAAATGAAGCTTTCTCTAACATGCAGGAATATACCCATTTTTAGACAAGCAAAGGCAGGACGTTAATTGAGTCATTGGAAATAGAAATCATGCATTTGTTTGCCTAATTTATAGAAGCACCTTGGCCATGTAACCATGAGCTAATATCTGACCACCATTATGAGGGAAGGAAATCAAGTCCTCCTGCTATATGGTCTTCCCTCTGTAATAAGGGCAAAAGGTTAAAAATCACAATTAGAATGGTGTGATGGAATGTACCATATTTTTCCGACAATAAGATGCCCCCATGTACAAGACGACCCCCACTTTTCCAA